CACTCTAACGATTTCGACAAATGAATGTTTTCTTTTAAAAATCAGTGTATGACACAAATATCTACTCAGAACAGCAGCACTATGCGCATAATCAATATTATTAGAAATTGTGAAAAAACTACTTCTCTGTGACAAATTATTAGACGTGATTTATGATTGATGACGTTAATTGTACTGTGACACCATCAATATCAGTGCTCTTTTATTAACCAGTTTACTCTTCGTTAAAGATTAGGGGTTAACCACAACGAAACCACTTCAGCAAAGATTACATTCGTCCCGCTCCCATTCGCCACTGCTAGTGCTGACACCCATTTACAGACTTAATAAAAAAGGTATCACTCTTTCGGGTAGCAGACCAAATATTCCTGATAATAGCAACGGATTCAGCTTCACTGCATATCATTCAACTAGCAGTGCTCATGATTTCACTCCAAAAATTATCCATGACATTTGGATAGAATGATATCTTGTCAGGCATTTAATTTTATATGAAAATAAAAAATATCAGCAAACGTCACGTTAGCCTTAAGGTGATCAAACAATAATCCAAACAGCGCACCGTATGCAACCTTTTCTATTCTGCAATACCAAGAACGTGTTGAATATGAAGGAACAGACGCCGTTTGATTCAGCACCGGAAAGATTAATTTTAAAATTCATCGATTTAACGGCGATCCAGCACCACAAACGATGTATTCACGCCCTTCTTGTCCCTTCAATTTCATTCGTTTACAGAGAATCCACTGCTACATGCCAGTGATAAAAACACATTCAATCTATATCCTAATATATGATTTTGTTCTATATATCCTTATGTTCTATAGCCTCATACATTGTATATCCTCATGCTTAGCTTCTTTATAATACTCTTCTTATTACATAGTTATTTATTGCCTAAAGTATCTCAAAACAGGCTTATGAACGGATGCGTCGTTTAATAGCCACAATCGCCCTCTTAGATCCATGTTCAATTCAGGTGTTTTTAAAGAAGCTCTTATTTCGAAGTTGAATACATCAGATTTCCGCATATAGCTGTTCAAGGCATTCCTGAAGATCTGCAATTTACGCCACCGTAATCGCACGATTCTAAGTAAATGGACAGGCTAATATCAGGCAGAATTACCGAACTGGAGATCAAGCATTCGAATATGCCACCATACATACAGCGTGCCATGATTTTGGTGGCATTGGAAGTGGCCGAGGCCGATATGCCAAAGGAGTGGATCGCTGAAACACTGGCGAATCGGATAGAGAGCACCTTCGGTGGCACCTGGGTGTGCCTCGTACGAACCAACTCTGATACGTACATCGCTCACGGAGACGGTTACTATTTTTCGTTTGTGATGAATGGCATACTGTTTGACATATATGAATTGTATGTACACTAATTCTGGAATATTTCTATTGAGAGAAAGAGAGCGTTGCTTGAAAGACTTAATTCTACTGAATGCTCGAATGGTTTTGCCGAAACCCTGAAAGAGAAGACCGCATTTTTTCTGGTTATAAGTACATGTGAATGTGTAGAATATGTAAAGTAAATGATTCCACACTTTCGCTAACTCTCGACTTCCTTCGTAAATATCTTCTTACGCAATCACGACATGTCTAAAACATGTAGACAACATGTTACCTGTATGTTCGTTTCATAAACGCCAGATATTCCAAATGAAATGGTTTAACCATAAAATTCATCATTCATTGTCATTCAGATTCAATTCTCAAATACG